CCTCCTCGTCCCTTTCGTCAGTCTCATCACTGAGTGGGAATCCAGCTGAGTGACAAAAGCTCTCCTCGGTCACTGGTGCCTAGTGATCGGGACAGCGTCACCCGGGAATTCACCTGCCCTGTGTGGGTGCGGCCGGGCCGGGCAGAGGCTGGGAGGGCGGGACATAGGGAGCTCTGCTCTGTTTTGCAGCTTCCCCTCCCACAACCAGGCATCTAGATTAAATGCTGCCTCTGCTAGAAACAAAAATGCAATAATAAAAAGAAGCATTTTGAATTTTAAATTTCAGAGAGATTAGAAGTGTGAATATTGTCAATGGAACACGTTATCACTGCTTGCAAAATAAGCTACAGAAATAGGTTGTGATTACAGTAATGGCATTATAATTTTATTTTGGAACTTCTTCTGCCCCCTATTTCCTTATAATTTTGAAAAGAATAACCAAAATTAAAAACTGTCAGCCTTGTCTCGCTAACGTACCATTAAATCTTCTCCGTGCTATTCTTTCATTATTGTTGGCATAATAATGCAGGAATAAACCAAAAAGAACTCGAACTCTGAAGTCTGCTTTCAAAGACTTTTCAAGTATCTAGAATGGGTACTGGGAAAATTTAATCCCTAGGAACAACCATGCTACTGATATTTTGGTTAGTTAGTTTTGATGATTCAGAGTACCTAGAGAATAACATTCTATTTCATGGTGGAAAATTGGAGTCCTTTCTTCCAACAGATGTATAAGAACTCTTGATGCGATATGGTGAAGCTTTCAAAGCTGGAAAAAGTAAAAATATATAGTTTGTTTCCTTCTTCCTCTCCAAAAGTTTCTCTTCTTTCTCACAGGCTGTGATCAGCTCTAGAAATAACTCCCAAAATGAGGAAGAAGTTTCCTTTGGATGGGTTAGATATTGAAAGAAAAAGGTTTTGTGTAATGAATGAAATTACCAGTTGGATTCAACCCAGAAGCAAGACGCATTGACTTTCTCTGAAATATGTCAGATCAGCCCATGTATCTTTGTTTGGTGCTGCCACCTTAGGTCAGCTCTCAACTGCATTGGGTCTCCCTGCTCAGACTCAGGTCCCAGTCCCATCCTCCTGCACACAATATCCAGGTCCTCACCTTTTGGCGTAAGCAACATCACCTCCCTCCTGCACTGACCCCCTGCTTCAAGTCCTGCATTGAGAGAAGTGTGGGTTTTACTCTAATATAGCCCCCCACCCCCTGTGCTCCGCCCTCCTGAACCCTCTGTTGCTTTCTCTCCAGCACTCTGCTGTTTGTTTCATAAGATCTTACAATTCATAAATATCTTGTTTGCATATTTTTTTCTTGTGTCTGCTTGCCAACAGGATTGTATGATTCATAAATTCAGGGATTTTTCTGTTCCTCTTTGTTTCCTAGTAGTAAGCTCAGTGAATAGCATATGGTAGACTTTTCCCCCAGAATTTTTAAATTTTGTTTTTTTTTATCCTCACCCGAGGACACTTTTTGCATTTATCTTCAGATAGAACTAGAGGGAGAGAGGGAGGGAGAGAGAGAGAGAAACATCTACATGAAAGGGACACATCAACTGGTTGCCACCCCCATGACCCCAACCAGGGCTGGGGACAAACTGCAACTGAGGTACGTGCCCTTAACGGGAACCGAACCCGGGACTCCCTGGTACGCGAGATGACACTCTAACCACTAAGCAAAACTGGCCAGGACCAGAATTTTTTAAATGCAAATTTTCAAACATACAATATAAAATAATTTTACAATGAATACCTGAATACCTACTACCTAGTTTCTACTGTACTTTCATCATTTCTCTATTAATACATGCTTGAATGAGTGAATGAGTGAATACATGAATGTTACTCTGTTGGTCAATAGCCTGAAGCTGTCCATTCTGAGGTTGGCCCAATGCAAAGTGAGCTTCCTTGCTTCCAAGCGGAACTGTTATATTCCCTAGGTGTGCATCTGCTAAGCTCTGTGCCAGGCACTGGGGAAGATCCTGCGGATTCAGAGATAAGCTCAAATTTCCTACCTTCCAGACATACACGCTCTACACACAAGAGGAAGAAAAAAGTTAGTGATGAAAAAGAGAGAATTAGAAATGTGGACTAGTAGTTTATATTTTTGCACACATGACTTATTAATTAAAGACTGATCAGCATTAATGTTAACGCTGATCAGTGTAACTTGATGTTAAAACTATCTCATTTCTTGGCATTTTGTTTTTTTTAATTGTAGAACAAGTAGATAAAAGCAATTGTTGACTTGGCCAATACCAACAAAGGAACATTGTCAAAGCAAGCCTATTTAAACTATGAAGCTTGTTCCTTTCTTTTTTTCAAAGTGTTATATAGTCATTGAAACATACAAATAATAGAAGCAAAGGAAAAGCATATAAAATTTTCTTATCTAGTCTAAATATGGTCAAGCTAAAGAGCATTTCTGCCTAGTCTAGAACATTGACAGAGCAGGCAAGGCAGTTTGAGCCTCCTTCTCTTCTGCAGATCCCCGCCCCCAACTATATTTGATTATATTTTTGTACCCTGTGTTCATTATTTTGATTGCTCAGACAAAATGCTTACCTTTAAAATGACAGCCTGGGCAATGGTTTGCAATATTCTTTATTAACCTTGCTGTGTCTATTTACATTTATTTTAATTCTTATTTTTTTTCTTTTATTATTATTAGTATTATGTTTAATCCTCACCCCCAATTTTTTTTTTTTCATTTATCTTCAGATATAGTGGGAAGGGAGGGAGGGAGAAAGAGAGAGAGAGAGAGAAACATTGATGTGAGAGAGACACATCGACTGGTTGCCTCCTGCTCTATCCGGATCAGGGCCGGGGATCGAATGCAACCGAGGTACGTGCCCTTGACCAGAATCAAACCCGCGACTCTGTGGTCCACTGAGCCAAATAGGCCAGGGCTTTTGTTTTTCTTTTTAAACTTATCTTTATTGTTGCCTGTATTACAGATGTCCCCCCTTATTTCCCCCGTTGACCTCTCCTCCCCTCTCTCGCCCCCTCCCGCCTTTTCCCACACTATTGTCTGTGTCCATTGGTTATGCATATACTAATTCTTATTTTTAGAAGGAGGATTTTAAGAAGATCAGTGAAGTATCTTTGTGATTGAATTACTTACCCAGGGGTCTATGGACTAAGGGTTCAATTGAATCACTGTGAACTGGGACACATCCAAGTTCATGTTTTAACTGAGAAACCTCTGTTAAATATTTGAAAGTGAAATCAATCATTCAAAATAGGCGCATGGACCTGGATAGCATAGAAATGGTGAGCACAGCACGTGAGTGAGCAGCAAAGGTGGAAGCTGGCCCCTGGGCCTGGTGTTTCTCTGACCTCAGCTGTCTCCTTTTGTTTGATGGGTTCTGCTCTGTGGCATGTTGGTGACTCCCATCCCCTCAACTTGCGTGTGCTCACACGGCTTTTGTGTGGCAAATGCTCCAGGGCCCGCTGTGGTCCTCATCTGGATCTGCTTCCTTGCTTTGCCACTAGTAGATAAACGACCGTGAACAAGAAACATACCTTTTCCAAGTTCCAGGTTCCTTACTTGACACCTGCTGCAACATGTAAAAGGTGTCCGGCACAGAGAGGCCCTTGGTAAGTGTTCGTTTGACCCTACTATTTTGGATTAGTAAGAAATGATAATTGGGGAGCAATACGAAGGTAAGCACATAGATAGTGCAATATGAGGAAAAAGCAAATCTGGGAGTGGATATTTTATTTATAAAATGAAACCTAATTTTATTTTGCCAGAATCAACAAATACATGTTCAAATCTGGTTTATCTTCAAATCACGTGTTTGTCTTTGTTTTAAACAAACATGCAAGTTAATTTGGCATGCCAAACATCTTTCTCTCTAGCTCTTTTTGGAAAAATAATTGTTTTTCATAACACAAACGAGGGTGCAAATATTGTCCAAAAACGATTTTTTTTTTTACCCTCCAGTATCACTAACATTACTATTTATTGAGAGGAAAGAAAAATTGCAATGCTTGATCTTTGGCATTCACATTAGATTAAAAACCTATAATCATTTTTAAAATAAACACTTCGAAGGAAATTTAATAAATCTTGCTTTTGCTCTGCAAAGGAAGCTTTAACTGGAGCTGTCGAGTTCCTGCTGGTGGAATATTACTTCCAGCCTATTTATTAGCTTTTCTTCCTGTAGCCCAACCCATGCTTCCCCCTCCACTGAGTAAAAGCACAGAAAAAAGCAATTTCTTTTCTCTCCACATTCCCCCCTCCCCCAGCCTCATGCAAGGTAAGATATCACAAGTCACAACATCTGAATTTACTTTGATTCTATTTTGTTTCTTATACTTAAAATTATTTTTTATTATAATACTTCCTGGGTTATCTAAAATCAACATTGTTGACTGTAAATTGTTATAAAGCCAGACTTTCAGAGGCATTTGGAACAATTCATGAACCATGTCTGAAGGGAGATGGTCGCCTCCAGCCTGTTCTTTTGCACTTGAAGTAAAATAATTGTAGGTATCAGTAGTTTAGTAAAAAACAATACTTTAGGGGGCCCATTGAATTTATTCACACCTTTATGTTGTAAACAAGGATATGATACTTTTGACAGTAGCCTACGAACAAATTTTAAAAAATATATCCTTTAGTATAGAATAGGTATCAAGGGAGCATTTTAAACATGATTCTGGTAGGTCTCTTATGAGCCTACTTTCCAGAAAAATTATTTATGAAATTTACGGATTAAAAACAAAGTCTAAAATCATAGATTTTTAGTTGAGAAAATATGGTATGTGAGGTCAGGTCACTGTATTGTCTGTGATCTTGTGTACAATGTAGCATATACAAAAGAACCTAGAGAGACATGTATCTCAAAGTCCAGGCAGGATGTAAGAGTACATAAAGAAACAAGAGCTTTTTAGGTCAGAGGTGAAAGAAGACACAGTATTCACCTAAAACAGTAAGTTGTAAGCAACATATACATATTCAATGCCAATTCACAGAATGCAAACAAGGTCAATTAGACAGTGTACTGTGATAGCCACACATTTTGGAAAAAAATTCCCAAGCCAGGCGGATGTGGATTGGAATAAAAACATAGGCAGTGTACACCACCATAGCGAAAATGGTTAGTAAGATGGTGTTGAACATGGATTGCTCCCAGGGCTCCAAGACAGCACAGCAGCTGATGATTTGGTATTGATAGTAGAGCCAGGAGAAATAGTCTTTCACACGCCTGAAATCCATGGTTGGCTCCTCCAAGCTGCAGACAGCCCGTCCTGTTAAAGAAGGCAACAGATTAGAAGAAAACTAAAATAAGAAACCAAACACAGACTCTCCTGAGATTTTCATGAGTTTAGCATGTTAAAACCTTTCAAAGAATGTTAACAATCATTAAACAGGCTAATATGAATATTATATTGAAATATGATACCCAATGTACCATAGGCATTAATATCGCCACTAATAAGAAGTAATACTAGACAGCAACAATATTACTAATACTAACATTCATCTAAAAATGATAATTCTTAGTAATAACTCATAATAATATCTAAAAATTGAGGCTACTCATATTTTCTTTAGCCACGTGTGCAGAGAGAGAGAAACAGGAGTTTTCTGTTTCCTACAACATGTTCTCTGAAAGAGATGTGAAGAGTTGTGTGCAGAAGAGTTAATGTAGGAAGTCTGAGGCTGCTATCTTTAGAAGGCCTGCTTGCAAATTTGGCCTTTGGCTGGCACCTGGGACCTTGGGTTTTGGAATGTTCTCTCCATGCTGTCATGAATAAAGATGATTCACTATGCCTAGATCGTGCAAACACTATAATTAATGGTGAACGCCTGTTTTATTCTGGGAGTCTGGAATGTTGCTAACTGCTGGGCAGAGGGTAGCCACAGAACCAGTCCCAATAAAAACCTTGGTGTGAAGTCTCTAAGGGCTGCCCTGGACAGAAACATTGCACATGTATCACTTTTTGCCAGTAGAGAAAGGAGCATGCTCGGTGTGCCACTCACGGGAGGGAGAGAGCACAGGAAGCCTGCAAATGGACTTCTTCAGACTTCACCGGTGTCTCTCTTCCTTGCTGATCCTGTTGGATCTCCGTTCACTGTGATCAGCATAGCAGTGAGCAAAATATATGTTGAGTCCCGTGAGTCTTTCTAGTGAGTCACTGAACATGTGTGTGGTCTTGGGGACCTCTGAAACAAATGGGAAGCACTAAGTGTACCTTTGGTAGTCTTTTTTTTTTTTTTTTTTGGATAAAGAATGTATGAAAGTCATATAACATTTTTTTCTTTGTTTGTTTTTGTGGTTTTTTCCCCCCCCTTAGATATGACTTTTATAATCACATGTAAATCTTCCCAGAAAAAAGAGCATCTATCATTTCTTAAAATGATCCTTGGGAAGATTTTGCAGACTTCCATAGACATTATCGGTGTCTATGGGCATACAAGCTGACCTTTGTGCCTGTTTTGCTTACTCCTAAGAATAATGGTGCCACGTCATCTAAGTCCATTTTGATAACTTTTACTATTCAAATCAGTTACATTGTTTTGAAGGTCATGTCTATGTTCTGACCTGAAACACTCTGTTTTTTCTTTGATTCTCCTTTGAGTAAAGCAAGATATTTTTGCTCCATAAGACTGTGGACTTCTTAGACTTTTGGGAGACCTCATGATCCTAATGTCTGGCACAGAGATGGTAATCAGTAAATACTAGCTGACTGAATGAGTAAAAGAATGAGTGTCAAGTCACCAAGTTAAAAAAATAACTGTGGATCACTCAGAACCCCAGCTTAAATATGATATGGTTTGCTATTGTTTACTTTCAATAGCGTGGCTTTGAGAAATAACACTTTCTGATAAGGATAATTTCCACAAAAACTTAAAATGGGAAGTCTTTGTATTACCAGGTTGTAATTCTCTGTCATGATGGCCAAGATCATTCAAATACGCAGATGAAACAATTGAAGTTGTTTTGCTTTCCTATGAAAAGTCCGACTCCCATCTTTCCTCAAAGCTAGAGTGGGAACTAAGTAATTGGATATAAATACCTTGTAGGTGGACCTTGGTGAGAACTTACTTCCATTTTAATTTTTTTATTTCTTAAAGCTATCCCCAGCTCTGGTTACAGAGAAAGAGCACCCACCAGCACTGCCCAGCCTTGAAGGAAGTGAGCGACAGAGGAGTGATCATTTCACTGAGCAAAAGTATACAAGCAACTGAGTTTTTCCACAGAAAATTAGAAGTTATCCCTGTTTGAGCTTGTAGGCCGTCTCCCTAGATGACTGTATATTTCAAACAAAACTTAATTTTTAAAAATCTCATTCGTGGCTACCCATACGTGCTTCCTCTTCATTATTAGATGGCATGTGGGGCGGCGCCAGGTAACTGATCAGGAGCGTGAATACATTCACCAGGTGTCTGGTTCCAGGCCGGGCTGGTGAAGGAGGGGCAATGAGGACTCACACAGCCAGAGACCCCCGCTCAGGAAACTTGGTCCGGTGGGGGAGACAGGTAGCAGTTAAATAATGTATGCAAATATATAATTATCACCTACATTATGCCCTAAAAGAAAAAAGCAGTGCATAGAGTCTGTGGGTAACCTGATGCAGGGTGAGCATATCTCTGAGGAAGAGATATTTCAGATAAGATCCAAGAGATGCTTGTGAGTCGATGAATGGGCAGTCGGGTGGGGAGAATGGCCAAGGCAGAGGGACGGACTTGTGCTGATGCAAAGGGGAGAGGGGGGAAGGAGTCTGATAGGTGGTCCAGGGGATGCCGGCAATGGAGCTTAGAGGTCTATTGGGAAGGTGGGCGTATGAGAAAATGGAAGAGGAGGGAATGTCAAACACTGTAGGGCCCAGTGGACAGGCTGAGTACTTGGTTTTTATCCTCCTGAGTGGCACTCCAGCGGATTTGAACGGGAATGCCAACTGGATGAGGCTATAACCTCCTACAGACGTGCTGTCGTCCCTGCTCTCTAAAGCCAAGCTGAAATGACTTTGAATAACAATCATCTCAGAAAAATCTATGCCTCTGCTCTCTTATGGGTGTGACAGAATCAACCATGTCCTGGAAATGTGTTCAAACAGTCTTTAATACTCTTTTCAATGTCATAAATGCGAGAAATTACTCATTTACAAATATTATTGACTTTTCCTCTATACATTTTAGCTTTTAAAAATGCATGAATTAATTGCCTGGCTACTGTTTTCTCTTCCAACATTAAATTTCGTGCTTGACTATCCCTGATGGAAACCTTGGCTGCAGCCCTGTGAGAGATCCCGAGACAGAGGCACCCAGCTAAGCTGTGCCCAGCGCCTGAGCCATAGAATCATTCACTGCACCAAAGGCAGATGCCTCCTAAGACCTTGGCCACAAACTGCTAGCGATGGAAAGAACTGAGATTAAAAATAAATTTTTTTTTTCTTGCCAGTTTCTACAATCCCCTGTATCATTTTCCAGCGGTCTCAGTAGCTAGCTCTGACATGTCAAAGTGCTACATATTGTCACATCTCAGTTTAGTCTCACAACACCTAAGAGTTAGCCCGTAAAAAGCATTGGTTTCCCCTCTTTTTGATTCTTTTCCCCCTTATTAAGTAATTTTAAAGTTTGTTTATTCAGTTTTCTTATTATGAAAAGGTGAGAAGAGAGAGAGCGTTGGTTATTATTGGAAAACCATCTGCTACAACCTATTGTTAGAATATGCACTATATTTAGGTTCTACATTTGCTCAAGTCAGTGATTTTCAGCCTTTTTCATCTCATGGTACACATAAGCTAATTACTAAAATTCTGTGGTACATCAAAAAAATTTTTGTGCCCATCTGACCAAAAAAAGGTATAATTTTGATTCGTTCACACTGGACAGCTATTGTTGTGTTGGTTGTTGTCTTTTCTTTTTTATTTGACAATCAGGGAAAAATAGGTCAGTGCCCCTAATTAAATAATCAGGTATTTCACACAGGTTGAAATTAAGTAGTATATTTCCACTGCTTTAAAAAAAATTTTTTTCTTTTATTGATTTTAGAGAAAGAGGAAGGGAGAGGGAGAGAGATAGAAACATCGATGAACGAGAACATCAGTTGGCTGTCTCCTGCATGCCCCCTACTGGGGACCAGGCCCACAACCTGGGCATGTGCCCTGACCGGGAATCAAACTGGGACCTCTCTGTCCAGAGGACGACGCTCAACCTCTGAGCCACACTGGCCGGGCTCTACTGGTTTTTGAGTCCATTTTAGTTCCTTTGAGACTACATAAAAGATTAAAAAAAAGTTTTAGACTATGAGTAATGTGGGTAGGAGAATTTACTAATTCATTAAACAAATACATTCTGAGAACGGCTGGCTTCTTCCGAGTCGTAATGGCCTTGGGAGGAATCTGTCCCACTGTGGACGGAGATGCTCTGCCAGGCAGCAGCACACTGGACCAGGAAAATACAGGGAGGGAAAATAATTTTCTTTTTACCCCCCTAAACTTTTCTGGCTGGTCTGATAATTAAATTGATATGAGACAGACTAACAGGATAAAATAATAAAATTTATTGCGTATGTACATACGGCGGTTCCACAAGAGCGTGGGACCTGAGGCCGAATCAGGCCGTGGCGTTTTCCATGCCATTCTGGACTAAGGAGAAGGGGGTAGGGGTCTGGGACTTCAAAGGGAAAAGTAGGCAACTCACAAGCAGGTGAGAAAGAGCAAACATTTGGTAAATGAATTATTGCAGGGCCACCAGAAACACTGGGACAGGAAGGGAGTCTGCCAAACAACCTTGCCAGTTCCCTATCTGCCACACTTAATTTATATTATGCCAAGGTGCCAGCTCCCTCCCTTTAAGATTTTTCTACCCCAGTTCCTTTAAGCAGGTAAGGGGGAGGGTCAAAGTCCTTTCTGAGTCCTTTGTTTCTTAAAAAATAACTACCTTAAAATAATCAAATGGCATATTTTGGGGTAGGAAACTCTGCTTGGCCTCACAACCAGCTGGAAGAAAGAAGTAGAAACCCCAGCAGAGGGTTCCATGGCCTTCAAAGCCTCGAAGTTGAGTGAGGACAATGGCCGGGTATGTGGGATGTCGGGAAGACCTCAGTGCCACCCTTTCAGTCTCCCCACGCTCCACTCTTCCCTTACTCAAGATGCGTTCCTGAAATCCCACAGTTCAGATTCCCCTGTAGCTGAAGGAAGGTCTGAGGGCTTATTTATTGCAAATGTTCCTGGGAACCAGCAAAGCTGAGGTTCTTGTCAGTAATGTTCATCTTAGCACGGATAAAAGACCCAAACAG